CTCTATAGTAGATACTACAGTAGAGTCAGCTGGATACTACTGCCTCTACAGTAGATACTACAACAGAGTCAGTGGATACTACTGCGCTCTGATAGTAGACACTACAATAGTCCGTGGATACTACTCGGCCTCTATAGTAGATACTACAATAGTCAGTGGATACTACTGCCTCTATACGTAAGACACTACAACAGAGTCAGTGGAATCTACTACTGCCTCTATAGTAGGATACTACAGTAGAGTCAGTGGATACTACTGCCTCTATAGTAGATACTACAGTAGAGTCAGTGGATACTACTGCCTCTACAGTAGACTACTACAGTACAGAGTCAGTGGATACTACTGCCTCTACTAGTAGACTACTACAGTATAGTCAGTGGATACTACTGCCTCTATAGTAAGATACCTACAAATAGTCAGTGGATACTACTGCCTCTATAGTAGACACTTACAACAGAGTCAGTGGATACTACTGCCTCTATAGTAGATACTACAGTAGAGTCAGTGGATACTACTGCCTCTATAGTAGATACTACAGTAGAGTCAGTGGATATACTGCCTCTATAGTAGAATACTACAGTAGAGTCAGTGGATACTACTGCCTCTATAGTAGACACTACAATAGTCAGTGGATACTACTGCCTCTATAGTAGATACTACAACAGACTAAGTGGATACTACTGCCTCTATAGTAGATACTACAATAGTAAGTGGATACTACTGCCTCTATAGTAGACTACAGTAGAGTCAGTGGATACTACTGCCTCTATAGTAGACACTACAGTAGAGTCAGTGGATACTACTGCCTCTATAGTAGACACTACAATAGTCAGTGGATACTACTGCCTCTATAGTAGACACTACAATAGTCAGTGGATACTACTGCCTCTATAGTAGATACTACAGTAGAGTCAGTGGATACTACTGCCTCTATAGTAGATACTACAGTAGAGTCAGTGGATACTACTGCCTCTATAGTAGACACTACAGTAGAGTCAGTGGATACTACTGCCTCTATAGTAGACACTACAATAGTCAGTGGATACTACTGCCTCTATAGTAGATACTACAGTAGAGTCAGTGGATACTACTGCCTCTATAGAAGACACTACAGTAGAGTCAGTGGATACTACTGCCTCTATAGTAGACACTACAGTAGAGTCAGGTGATACTACTGCCTCTATAGTAGACACCACAGTAGAGTCAGTGGATACTACTGCCTCTATAGTAGACACGACAACAGTCAGTGGATACTACTGCCTCTATAGTAGATACTACAGTAAAGTCAGTGGATACTACTGCCTCTATAGTAGATACTACAGTAGAGTCAGTGGATACTACTGCCTCTATAGTAGATACTACAGTAGAGTCAGTGGATACTACTGCCTCTATAGTAGACACTACAATAGTCAGTGGATACTAATCCCTCTATAGTAGATACTACAGTAGAGTCAGTGGATACTACTGCCTCTATAGTAGACACTACAGTAGAGTCAGTGGATACTAATCCCTCTATAGTAGACACTACAATAGTCAGTGGATACTACTGCCTCTATAGTAGATACTACAGTAGAGTCAGTGGATACTACTGCCTCTATAGTAGACACTACAACAGTCAGTGGATACTACTGCCCTATAGTAGACACTACAATAGTCAGTGGATACTACTGCCTCTATAGTAGATACTACAAAAGAGTCAGTGGATACTACTGCCTCTATAGTAGACACTACAATAGTCAGTGGATACTACTGCCTCTATAGTAGATACTACTATAGAGGCAGTGGATACTGCCTCTATAGTAGACACTACAATAGTCAGTGGATACTACTGCCTCTATAGTAGATACTACAGTAGAGTCAGTGGATACTACTGCCTCTATAGTAGACACTACAGTAGAGTCAGTGGATACTACTGCCTCTATAGTAGACACTACAGTAGAGTCAGTGGATACTACTGCCTCTATAGTAGATACTACAGTAGAGTCAGGTGCCTCTATATAGATACTACAGTAGAGTCAGGTGATACTCCTTGCCTCTATAGTAGACACTACAACAGACTAAGTGGATACTACTGCCTCTATAGTAGACACTACAATAGAGTCAGTGGATACTACTGCCTCTATAGTAGATACTACAATAGTCAGTGGATACTACTGCTTCTATAGTAGACACTACAGTAGAGTCAGTGGATACTACTGCCTCTTTAGTAGATACTACAATAGTCAGTGGATACCTACTGCCTCTATAGTAGACACTACAATAGTCAGTGGATACTACTGCCTCTATAGTAGACACTACAGTAGAGTCAGTGGATACTACTGCCTCTATAGTAGATACTACAATAGTCAGTGGATACTACTGCCTCTATAGTAGATACTACAGTAGAGTCGGTGATACTACTTGCCTCTACAGTAGACTACTACAACAGAGTCAGTGGATACTACTGCCTCTATAGTAGACACTACAATAGTCAGTGGATACTACGGCCTCTATAGTACGATACTACAATAGTCAGTGGATACTACTGCCTCTATAGTAGACACTACAACAGAGTCATTGGATACTACTGCCTCTATAGTAGATACTACAGTAGAGTCAGTGGATACTACTGCCTCTATAGTAGACACTACAGTAGAGTCAGTGGATACTACTGCCTCTATAGTAGACACTACAGTAGAGTCAGTGGATACTACTGCCTCTATAGTAGATACTACAGTAGAGTCAGTGGATACTACTGCCTCTATAGTAGAACACTACAAGTAGAGTCAGTGGATACTACTGCCTCTACAGTAGATACTACAACAGAGTCAGTGGATACTACTGCCTCTATAGTAGACACTACAATAGTCAGTGGATGATACTAACTGCCTCTATAGTAGATACTACAATAGTCAGTGGATATACTGACTCTATAGTAGACACTACAACAGAGTCAGTGGATACTACTGCCTCTATAGTAGATACTACAGTAGAGTCAGTGGATACTACTGCCTCTATAGTAGATACTACAGTAGAGTCAGTGGATACTACTGCCTCTATAGTAGATACTACAGTAGAGTCAGTGGATACTACTGCCTCTATAGTAGAACTATACAATAGTCATGGATACTACTGCCTCTATAGTAGATACTACAACAGACTAAGTGGATACTACTGCCTCTATAGTAGATACTACAATAGTAAGTGGATACTACTGCCTCTATAGTAGACTACAGTAGAGTCAGTGGATACTACTGCCTCTATAGTAGACACTACAGTAGTCAGTGGATACTACTGCCTCTATAGTAGATACTACAATAGTCAGTGGATACTACTGCCTCTATAGTAGACACAATAGTCAGTGGATACTATACTGCCTCTATAAGATACTACAGTAGAGTCTGGATACTACTGCCTCTATAGTAGATACTACAGTAGAGTCAGTGGATACTACTGCCTCTATAGTAGACACTACAGTAGAGTCAGTGGATACTACTGCCTCTATAGTAGACACTACAATAGTCAGTGGATACTACTGCCTCTATAGTAGACACTACAGTAGAGTCAGTGGATACTACTGCCTCTATAGTAGACACTACAATAGTCAGTGGATACTACTGCCTCTATAGTAGACACTATAGTAGAGTCAGTGGATACTACTGCCTCTATAGTAGACACTACAATAGTCAGTGGATACTACTGCCTCTATAGTAGCCACTACAGTAGAGTCAGTGGATACTACTGCCTCTATAGTAGACACGACAACAGTCAGTGGATACTACTGCCTCTATAGTAGACACTACAGTAGAGTCAGTGGATACTACTGCCTCTATAGTAGACATTACAATAGTCAGTGGATACTACTGCCTCTATAGTAGACACTACAATAGAGTCAGGTGATACGACTGCCTCTATAGTAGATACTACAACAGAGTCAGTGGATACTACTGCCTCTATAGTAGATACTACAACAGTCAGTGGATACTACTGCCTCTATAGTAGATACTACAAAAGAGTCAGTGGATACTACTGCCTCTATAGTAGACACACAGTAGAGTCAGTGGATACTAATCACCTCTATAGTAGATACTACAGTAAAGTCAGTGGATACTAATCCTCTATAGTAGACACTACAGTAAAGTCAGTGGATTACTACTGCCTCTATAGTAGACACTACAGTAGAGTCAGTGGATACTACTGCCTCTA